AAATAAATAAATAAATAAACATACAATTAATTTCCCCCAAAATAAAACTAATAAATGTAGGCAGAAATTAAATGATACAGTGAGACATAAATGTATATATCTTTTACTTAGCTTCTTTATTTATCCGCCTTTGTAATAATTACATTATTAATTTATTTATTGTCCGTTATAAACTTTAACTTTATTACGTATTTTTTCAGGTATTTATTTATGTGGATGTTGTAATATTTTTGTCTGTTTTATTCTTTCTTTGTATTTTTTACCCTATTTATTTCTGTCCTCATTTCTGCGTCATTATGCTCATGAGGAGGGGGCGTGTCTTAGAGGGTCACCTTCTGCCCATTGGTTGGTTAGCATTTTACTGCATCGCTCCAATCTACAGGAGGAGATTTCAATCGATGGTGAGTACGGACTCGTGTTCTCGCCGAGTCTGTTCTGGAGAAGAACACAGGAAAGTCTGGACTCGGGGAGAACGCAGGCGCACTGATGACATCACCACATTCAGCTGCTTTTCTCCTCCTGTTATTAATAGTCTCTAGATAATAATAAATTCTGAGTTTTTACATTTGATGGGGAAATAATAATGAACACAGTCAGATAAACACTAATCAAATGAACGTCTTGCTAAATGAGACAAAAAAAAATCCCCATCATGGCCACCTGACACACGGCTATGCAGAGAGAGTTTGGGCCACCAGCCAATGGGCAGAAGGTGACCATATAAGCCACGCCCCCTCATTTGCATAATGAGGCAGTTATTTAAAAACAACAGAAATAAATAGGGCAAAAAAATACAAAGGAAGAATAAACCAGGCAAAAATATTACAACATGCACATAAATACTTAAAAAATAGATAATTAATAAATAAAACTGAAGAATTTAATGGACAATAAATAAATAAGCTAAATATTACAAAGGTAAAAAAATAAAGAAGCTAATTAAAAGAGAGATATACATTTATGTCTCACTGTATCCTTTAATTTCTACCTACATTTATTAGTTTATTGTATTTTGGGGGGCATTTAATTGCATGCTTATTTATTAATTGAGCAATTATTTATTTCTCTATTTATTTTTNAAATAAAGAAGCTAATTAAAAGAGAGATATACATTTATGTCTCACTGTATCCTTTAATTTCTACCTACATTTATTAGTTTATTGTATTTTGGGGGGCATTTAATTGCATGCTTATTTATTAATTGAGCAATTATTTATTTCTCTATTTATTTTTAAATATGGCAGAGCTGGTCCTCCGTAGCGGTAGTCAAGCTGCAGCTCTGAGCATTCAGACATTTTGAGAACAATAAGGAAATAAAAGCTTCTTCTCACCAATCTGCCATAAAAGCAGTTTTAGTCTTTAGGCTCCACTGAGACCAAAGACTAAAGCTGGTCTGAGTGGAGCCTAAAGACTAAAACTGGTCTGAGTGGAGCTCAGCAGAGCGGCGTGGAGCCTCACACTCTAAGATCTCATTTTATAATTAGTTTATAATCTTCTTCTTTTACTTTTTCTCCATCACTTTCTGTTCATGATCCTGTTTGTTCGCTAATGTTCTCTGAGGAATAATGAGAAACATTTCTATGTACTGAACAGCTTAAGGGGCTCTCAAGGCTGATTTATACTAACTCCTGTCTGCAGTCAGCTACGATTTGGGAGAGGTGCAGCAGAGTGTCGCAGTGAACAAAAAGATGGCTCCGCCCCCTCCGCAGACGCTCTGCTGCACCTCTTCCAAATAGTAGCTGACCACAGACAGTGCCGCAGACACAGACACAGCCGCAGACAGTGCCGCAGCCGCAGACAGGGCCGCAGACAGGGCCGCAGACAGGGCCGCAGACAGGTGGTCGGCTTGTTTTGGTTTTTATGAGCGAAATTTCGGAAAAAAACTCCTGAAGTTTGACCAGCTAGCAAAGCGAGGAGCGGAAGAACGCTGGGACGCTTTTTCCACCTGGATCTCCGCTCTTTTTGGCGCTCATGTCCCTCTGTTGTCGGACTACTCGCCCCCACTTCCTCGCCTCCTCGGCCGTATCTAGACCCACAGCGTATAGAGCAGACCACGCTGCAATATTGAGCATGAATCATAAATGTCTGCGACACGCTGCTGCAGGAGGAGAACCAGGCCTTCAGAGTCACAGCATGCAGATGTTTAAATAACCCTGATTTATTTATTTATTTTTTCATCAGCATATAATCCCAACTAAGCCCATCAGGATGTGGAGCCTGGATGGACCCAACATGTTTATGCCGCCGTACCTCGATGTCCACCACGCCGTTCTTGTCGCGGTGCGGCGCTTCATAAGCATCCATCTGCTGGCGGGAAACCTTAACCAGCCTCTCGGCCATCTCCCTCCAGCGTCCCGCCACCTCCACAGCGGTGGTCAGGAGGACAAAGTCCATGACAAGTCTGGCCACCAGACCCTGACAGTCCATCTTCAGCAGAGCCTGCAGAGAGACAGAAGATCCCAGGTTACATCCCGCAGCCTCCACCCCCCTAAACCTTAGATCCATGAACATTTCTGCTGGAAATAGAAGAAAAAACATCTTCCAGCGGATCGGTGTCTGTTGTAGACTCTGGGGAGAAGAAGTCCAGAACATAAACGTCCCCTCAGGGTTCAGCTGAACACACGTGATCCCGTTAGACGTGTGCTAATCAGCGCGGGACGCCGTCATGGACGTCTTCGTGTTTAAACCAACGTGTGACTCAGTTCTCAACACAAACATTTTCATTGCAGAAATAAAGCAGCTTCCGCCTCTGAGATGAACTTAGTCAGTGAATGTTATCTCCATTCTCATGACTCACTGCAGGATAGCCCTGAGAGAGGCTGATGCTGATTGGCTGTTTGCATTGAACTGGTCCGGTCATCGCCCCCCCCCCTCCCCCTCTGCTGAGCTGTTCCTGCAGCTGCCTGCGGTGCATCATGGTAGATTTGCAAATACAGACGTGACATATGCAAATGTGGGTGCATTCATGCAACACAACTGCAGACATTAACAGCAGGAACTACTTCCCTCTGAAGCTCAGGGAGCTTTTTCACTTCCACACCTGAAAGACATTAAAGTGGAAATGATGCTTTAAGGGGAACAGATCAGTTCCTTTAAGGAGTCTTCATATAAAATGTCACCAAACAGGCAGAATGTCAGATTGTTGCTTATAAGCCTGAATAAAAACATCCAAACCAAAAAACTCTTTAAGGGAATAAAACTTCAGCTTTATAAAACGCTAGAAAAATATTTCCCAACATTTCTCTTCCCTAAAAATATTTCCTCTGTCCAGAACAACGGTCGGATGCAGCTTTTGACTAAACACAGCAAAGGTGACTTTAATGTTCCAATTTAAGCCTCGGATGAAGGAGCAGGAATGTCTGGAATGACAGGATATGGGGGAGGATGGTGGGGGGGGGTCAGGAATGCAGACTCTGTGCTCCTTCTGGAGGCGGGATGAGACTAAAGGATGAAACCAGAGGGTGAGGCAGCTCTCCTGCTCTACAGACCCAAACCCTTACATCGAAGAAGGTTCATGCAGAACCAGTCACTTACTGTTTAACTGGACAGGAAATGAAAACTTCAAGCTCTTACTGGAAACCAGTGCTACTAAGCAGCATCAGTTACAGGCTGAGGTCAGTGCGGGAAGTAGTAGGTGGGAAGTAGGAGGGAAGTGGTAGGTGGGAAGTATTAGGTGGGAAGTAGTAAATGGGAAGTAGGAAACAAGAAGTAGTCTGAGGGAAGTAGTAGGCGGGAAGTAGCAGACAATAAGTAGTAGGTGGGAAGTATTTGACAGGAAGTAGAAGGTAGGAAGTGGTAGGCAGGAAGTAGTAGATGGAAGATAGTAGGTGGGAAGTAGTAAATGGGAAGTAGTAGGTAGGAAGTAGTAGGTGGGAAGTAGTAAATGGGAAGTAATAGGTAGGAAGTAGTAGGTGGGAAGTAGTATACCGGAAGTAGGAAACAGGAAGT